CACACACACACACACACACACACACACACACACGAGAGGTCCCTAATGAGACAAATGGTCTTCTCTCGGCTGCAGGCTAACTCAGGGAACTTAGGGACTGGCGTTAGGGCAAAGGAGTATTTTCTTCTTTACAACGGGATCATTCACTTGTTTTTGTTTCGCGTTATATGCAGGGTGCCCAGAGTCCTAATCTGGGCATCCGTCTTTTTGGGATGACCTGAGGGGATCCAATGAGATCCAATCTCATTTCCAGGCGCGTGGGTCACACTAGCTGCTAGGAACAGAAGAACAAAGGCGTCAGATCAGAGTAGGGAGGGACAATAGCAATGATAACCAAACCCCGACGCACCCAGGGCAGGGCAGGCAGGGAGGAAACACAGTCGGGGAGGGAAGGAGAGGGAAAGACCGAGTACATACCACTGCGGAGACACACACAGCCAGGCACCGGGCCGCCGCTGCAGACTCGCCTATGCTGTGGGCAAATGGGGGCCAGATGCACGGCCTTCCGAATGGAGGAAAGCCATCGATATCCTGCATAATCACTAGGCCACCACCTCACCTTTGCCAGAAAGGACAGCTGGGCAAGCCCACCCAAAATGCGGCTCCCGCGTTCCCGGAGCCACACTGCCACCCAGCGCTCACCGCGGGAAGCGCCACGGTGCTGGCCACACAGAGATGAGATGACTTAACCCCAGGGACCGGCAGACATTTCAGAGTTACGGAAAAGAAAGTGCATTTTCAAAATTCCTAAGGACGTATGTCAGCATGTAGCAAAACCTCGAGTGAGTGTGAGATGTGCGGTTATCTTTTTAAATGCCTGTTAGCACAAGTTGATAGGAGTGTGATAACCAGGCTCCTGCAAGATGCCACGTATCAGTCAGCGCCTCCCCACCCCCCCGGCCTCAACCTGCATGATTTTGGGGGTAATTAGGGTGACAAAGCATCCCGATTTTCCCGGACTAAGAGCAGTCCCAGGGTACAGGACTTCAGTGCTAAAACTGGGAAAATCCCAGGCCAACCAGGGCAGTTGGTCACCCTGGTTTTCGTAAAGACAGCTCCGTTCTTTACCTGGACCCTGACGGCCCAGACAGACGGGGACATGAGCCATCTGGGTGGGCACGTGGCCCCAGATGAGGCCAGGTCAGCGGCGGCTCCATGGAGGGAGCCGAGGGCGTAAGGAAGGGACAGCCCTGCTCTGGAGCCAGAGTTTCCTGAGTCAGGGCAGAGCTCAGGAACCAGGATTTGTCCACAGAAAATTAGAGATCACAAAAGCATGCCTCCCCATCCATGCATATGTGATCACCCATGTGCAGCGATCAGATTCTGTAATTCGGAAGAGCACAATGTGGGCGTAAGCCCAGAAGAGACTTCAGTCCACAAATGACTGGTCAGATGCTCAGGGTAACTCCCTGACCCCACAAGTCTCACACTCCTGGGGACACAGGCTCCCCAGAGCAGCAGTCCCCAGGACACTGATCCCCTACTTTAAATGTGACTACTGGAGCTAGGCTTATTTCTTCTGCTCTAAAAACTCTAAGTAAATCATCCTTTGTTTTATGTCTTTTATGTGCCTCTATTATACTGAAGCATCTGGATAATAAAAGAGAGAAATCCAGATAGGACTCTGAAGTCCTACTGTATTCACTTTAAAGAATTCAGTACAATACGTGGATGATGCAAGAGTCTTCAAAGGATGGGCTGAAAATGCACCGCCTCACTTCCCTGTCAATGAGCAAGAATTCTTGGCTCAATAAAACGCCAGGAAAGCGTCTCTGAGCTTGCGATTAGTTCAGAGTGCGTGACGTGTCCCCAGGACCGTGACTGTGTAGCAACCGTGCATTATCAAAGGGGATTCACTCACGCTCTTAGGAGAAGGGCAGGTCCCAGAGTGCCAGCATAGGAGGGCCCTGGGCCACCCCGAGGAGCCTGCTAACGGCACGGGAAGTCACGGGTGCGGGAACGGCGGTCCTCCAGGGCCTGGACCAGCCACTGCGGCCACAGTGGTGCCAGACATAAGCACACGAACATTAGCCAAAGGAGACACGTGCTTATGAGAATACGCCTTGTCTCTGACCACATTTCCCCAGCCGTGGACGGACACACTGGTGTAAGGGCTGTTCCCAGTTTGGAAAGAGTTTTCCTTGATGACAGTCTTTCTAAGCCCAGCATTGGGCTCCAAGGTGGGGGTGAAGAGACCCCCACGACTAACGCTGGCTTTGGGGGCAGAGCCTGTCCCATCCCTGCCACTGCCCTGCTTCACCAGAAGTGGGCCCCTCCCACCCTGGCGCTGAGATCCGGGAGGTCTCGACAGAAGGGAACAAGGTGACTCGCTTCAATTCATCTCTCCCACACATGTGGAATCACTTTTCAAAGAATCTGAAACTCCTGAACCTTCACCTTGTGTCCTGGCGGCCAGTGGGGCGCTCAGCTTGCTGACGGCTCCCAGGGAAGGCTCTCGGGAGGGGAAGAACGTTCGAGCCCGAGGGATCCACAGGGATGGGCCAGACAGGCGGCCGGCGGATCCCAAATCTGCCAGGAGCCAGCTCTGCGGGGCGTGAAGCACCAGGAGGGATGGGCGGCTAGCCCCGGAAACCGGGTCAGGGACAGAGGGCAGGAAGGAGATCCTCGCCTCTCGCCGCTTCCCCTCCCTACCACCCGAGCCCCTCTCTCTTCCCCTCCCTCCCTCCGTGTCTCTCCAGCGCCCCACAGGCTCAGGGAGGAGACAAGGTGTTTAGGCTGCGGTCAGGTATTGTCAGGGGCAGACCAGCTGTGTAAGGCACCAACTGCAAGAACTATTCTGGAAAGAGCCCTGTGCAAACGCATGTGTCCTTGCTTAGACACCGAGGATAAGCCCCTAAGTCCCTGGGGTTTCGCAGAAGGAACCATGGTTCAGTTCCCGTGCTCCCTCCCTGTGACAGGGAAAAGGAAGCAGGCTTGGTCCCCTGAATGAAGACAGTGGGTGACAGCCCTCCCGTCTGTCTTAAAGGGCCCACGCCGTGTCTACACTGTTGGCCAGCGTGTGGGCGGTTGCTGTCCCTCCCCTTGAATCTCCCGCGTCTTTTCTTGATGTTTGACTTCCGTGGCTGGAGGTGGTATGACCTCCAGGCTCTGTCTCAGCCCGCTCCAGGTCCCCCTTCCGCCTCCAGCGCATGTCGTGTGTGCGTGCATGTGTGTGAGATCAGGTAGGGAAGGGACAGCTGGGGACGTCTTCAGAAAAGAGCCTGATCCATGGTCCAATCATCAGCCAGGTTGGCCAGTGGAAGTCAGGGCCTGGACATGGGCTAGGGTCAGCTTCGGCCCCTGCAGCCCAGCCCTGCACACAGACCACCCCCCCAGCACCGTGCAGGAGGTGGGGGGGGGGGCAGGAACTCCTAGCAGGGGCTTAGAACCGGCCCCCAGCACGGAGGGGCTGCTCGCCCTGCAAACAGGGGTTGGCCTGAGCATCTCTGCCTGTACCTGACCCCTCCCCCACCTCCCTGTGCCAACCTTTCTGGAAACAGGAATGGGTCTGCCACAGGGCTCTGTCTCCCGGGAACAGAAGGGAGCGGCCACTGAGCTCCATGTCTCAGCCTTTCCCACCCTCTCAGTATGAACTGAAAGCTGAGCCCCTCCTTTAAAGACCATGCTGCACCCAGAGCGGTGTTCTCACACGATCTAGACCTGCAGCACTGAACACGCGGTCCACTCCGGGCCGTCCTGCACACCTGCCCCCCTGCCCCTCCCAGAGCCCCGCTGGGTAGAGGGACCGCAGGTCTGGAACACGGCCGGCTGGCGCCAGGGCCCGCCCTGCAGGCCTGGGGCTGGGGCCCATGCGTCCCCGGCTCCTGGGGAGCCCTGGGCTGTCGGAGGCAGGCTGATTCTACTTCATGAGAACTGTTATCATCTAGTTCACTGAAAACCACATGACTGGATGCGGAGAGGGGCCGGGGGACAGCGGGGTGCGAGAACGTCCGTCTCGTTGTCCCTGCAGGCATCTCTGTCACTGGCTGGTGTGTTTGAGATCTCCGTCTGGAACTCCAGGAGCCGCATGCATGAAGAGATGCGGTTTTCGGGTCCATCAGCCCAAGGGCGATGTTTCCATGCCCGCCCCCCCCCCCCCCCCGCCAGGCACTGGCATGTACCACGGTCGCAAGGCAAGCACATGAGGCACACACCTGGCCTTCAGCTACGGTGCTGAAGGAGCCAAGGTTCGGAAAGTTCTAGCATACCACCCGGCAGAGACTGGCTGCCCGCGGGGCTGGGGCTCAGGCCTGCAGCGCTGCCCTGAGGCTGGGGTGCTCCCACAGGGATACTCGTGAGCTCCCCCCGCCCAGAGATGGCCTGAGCAAGGCCCAGCAGGATCACGAAGCGCCTCCCCACCATGAGGCCAAGCAAACAGAAGGCCGCAGCTGGGTGCTGGGGCGGACACTTAAAAGTAAATCACATGCATACTTGGGGATCTTGCAAAATCTAAACAGCACACAAACTGCTGAGCTTTTATTCTCCAGGAGGGGGAGAGACAGTATTTCCCTAACAGGTCAAGAGCGTTGCGCAACATGGATGAAGCCCGATTCCTGGAAACGTTGAGTCCGCTTACCCAGAACGCCGCTTTCCTCCCCGGGCCGGCATGGCCCCGGTCATCCTCACCTGTCCGGTGGCCGCCATGGGGGCCACGGGCAAGGTCACCGATCCAGGGATGTCGGAAGCCATTTCTGGAATGCAGCAAAGAAGAGAGGTTTGATCAATGCCAGGAACAAGCAAGACAGTTGTCCAGCAGTCCCAGAAGCAGCAGGTGTAAGGAGAGCCCAAGGCCCTGGGGCCACTTGGCCCACATTAGTTACGTGACTCAGGTGAGCTCTTCCCCTGGCTGGGCTCCGCCAGGAACAGGCCCCCTATCCCAGGCAGTGCCCCCCAGGCAGGACCCCTATCCCAGGCAGGACCCCCCCAGTCAGGCCCCCTATCCCAGGCAGGACCCCCCAGGAAGGCCCCCTATCCCAGGCAGGGTCCCCCAGGCAGGGCCCCTGAGGCAGGACCCCTATCCCAGGCTGGCCTCC